AAGAGGAGAGATTAACCAGTTCCTAACAAAGCTAAGTGGCCAATTGCTGTCACATCTACCGATTGTCCGTCGCTCCACAAAAAGATCGTGTCTTTCAACATCAGCTTGGCTTCGGTACTACAAGGCAACCCTGCATAAAACACTTATGTGAGTAGTAGCACCAGAGTCTAACCACCAAGTGTTTCTAGTACTGAAGCTAAATTAACCCAGAACAGACCAAAGCAAGGAACGACCCTTATTAATCACGCCCAAGGCGTATATATTTTGTAAACAGTCCTTCGTTTACATGTCCCAGCTTTTTAAGAAAGAACAACTGATTTTTATTCTGTTTCTCTAACTGGACCCTGTAGAGCTTCTTATAATTCTTTCCTTTTCTTGCCCTTATCTCCTTAGAGGCATAGGACCAAATGAGCATTTCTGTCTTATCTTGGCTTCAACCTGTCCTTCTTCTTGCACACAAGTATGAAATGAGCTCATTTAGAGTCCATTCTCCTTTTTACAGTTATATACTGACGCCTTAATTGGTTAAAGCTGTGGCAGGAAGAGACCAAAAAAGACCAGATGCCACTAATAACACGTGCAGCACAAGAATCGTAGTTAAGTTGGCGCTGTAAGCTGTTGGAAGAATATGAGAACCATTTCCATAATGTACTCCCTGATATTTCGCTTTGCCCTTATAGCTTCATTCTGAAAATCGAAGCGAGCTAAACGTGCTTGTTTCTACCCTTAATCGATGTTTTCGGCAAAACGCTTCTCAATGTTCGAACAAGTAAAATCTTTAGCCTTAGTACATCCCTTCGGATTCTATGCCCTCGCGAAGGCTTCCGGAACGGTCCCCCAGCCTTGGCTTAATGATCATAAGACTCATGGCGATTTGAACGCTGCTCGTCCACTTCTCATGCTCCTTCTTTGCATCAGAGTGCTATGCCTCGCATTGAGGTTGGGGTTGTTCAGCTTTCTTAATGCAGTAGTCAAGATCCATGCCAGCCAATGATAATTAAATAGTTCTCTTTCCAAAACGCTGTGAAGTTTGTCCACTTTAGGCATGGGAATTGAGTTGATGTTTAGCAAGAAAATTGTTGGGCAGCAGGATGCATTAGCTGAACATAAAACAAAAATGCTCACATCAATAACCATAATCAATAAAATTCAAATAATGACAATCGCCATCCAGATACCGCACAAAACATTGAATAATCAAGTTTTTTGGACAGTAATATTAACTTTAAAGTGATAACGTTGTTGGGCACATGATCAAACATTGACAATAACTCATGTCAAAATTAATGAAACTATTTGGATCGATTCATTATTCAATGTAACCTTATAATTGTACACATCTTATCAATCGCAGTTCGTTTTGTATTGACAGTCTAAATAAATATTAACCTTCTATTGGGCGATTAAAGTATTTACACGAAACGCATACACACAAACATCTCATATTCCCATGAACATCTACACAGAGAGGTTACTTTGCGAATTCTTGTTTTAATTAAATCAATTGGAGTTGATTAGACAAGCCTTAATAACCGCCTTAGTGTCATAATATTTGAATAAATAATTGATTAATAAACCGAATTAGATTTAAATTATAAAAAAAATTTTAATTTAAAATCAACTGAATTTCGCAAAAGAACTTAATTGGGGTCTCACAGGCTTAGTTAGGTGCACCATAACTTAATTTGAAATAATTAAGTATAAACAAAGTGGACCCATAAATAAGCCGAGGCTTAAACCAATAATGAACACGAAGTTCGCCTTTAACTTCGAAGCGGGAGGTCGAACATGTATTGAGTAGCGAGACTCACTTAAAGCACGACGCGAGGTTCGTCTGAAATTGAACGAACGCGACGGTTCGTTTGATAAAAGGAACGCGAGTTCAACTTGGAACGAGCGAGGTTCGTTTAAAAAATGAACACGAGTTCGTCTGAAGTTCGAACGCGAGGTTCGTCTGAAGTACAGAACGCGAGTTTCGTCTGAAGTCCGAACGCGAGGTTCGTCTGAAGTCCGAACGCGAGTTTCTCTGAAGTACGAACGCGAGGTTCGTTAAAAAATTGAGCTTGACGCTCACCTGAGTTGAACGCGAGTTCACCTTAGAACGAACGCGAGCTTCGTTGAGCGCAGTAAGCTTGGCTTAAAATGAAGCGAACGCGAGTCGTTTGACGGTAACCACCTCCTTAATTTTCGCCATGAACCCTTAGGGTTTCAAACTGAAACCGCCGCCGCCAAACCCAAAAATTCTTCGATTTTTATTTTCAAAAACCAGATCCAGAATCGGAAAAAATTTCTTGATCCAGATCCAAGAAAAATTGAAGAAAAAAATCAAAGGAAAATCCAAAAAATTCCAAAAAGTTACTGTTCACCATCGATTTTTCAGTTACTGTTCATCCAAAAAATTACTGTTCATCCGAACAAAAGACTTTACTGTTCATCCGAAAATTTTCGTTACTGTTCATCCGAACCCAAAAAAAATGAATCTTTAACCAGAGATTTAAGATCAAAAACTCAATAAAACTTAAATCCCTAAGAATTAATCAAGGTGGCTCTGATACCACTTGTTAGATCTACATCATAAAACTTGAGATCTAAAACCATATAGCCATGATTAATTCAAAGAGATTAACAAATAATCAAAAGAGCGGAAGCTTATACCTGAATCCATAGATTGATCTTGATTTTGGGTTTTGGATCTTCTAACCTTAGGGTTTCTCTAAAACCGAATTTCTCTAGCTAGATGGGGGTGTAGAGAATTAGAGAATGCAACCCTAGGTTAGGGACCATAACCCCTTATTTATAGATGTTGTACTTTTGTAATTTAGCCCCTCAATAAATCACAATTACAACCTGGTATCTGCACATATAACCCCATGATTATATTTAAATACCCATTAACCCAACTTAATTGATCACTTTAGTGGGTTATCCTGAAAGATAGCAATACACAATGATTAATCATATGTGCCCACAAATAGATTTATTAGATTAAATCTAACAATTTCTTCCTTCGTCATTCTTCTAGTAATTTTACTTAAGCTCCAGTCCCCACTTGCTCGTAAAGTACTAAATTCGTCCCCAACGAATAGGGATGTTAAATGGGTGGGTTTGGGCATTAAATGGGCGGGTCATAAATGGGCGGGCATATTTTGCCCATTTACCCATTTATGGCCCATTTAACATTATTTAAATGGGCGGGTTTTTGTCCACCCATTTAATAAACGGGCCGCCCATTTGCCCATTTAACTATAGTAGTTATATGTATATAATACTTTTGGGGTGTTTTTTGTAAAGGCCGCCCATTTGCCCATTTAACTATAGTAGTTATATGTATATAATACTTTTGGGGTGTTTTTTGTAAACTTTTAGGGGGCTTTTTGTAAACTATTGTGGGCTTTTTGCAAACTTTTTGGGAGCTTTTTGCAAATTTGTTAGGGCTTTTGATAAAATACCAACAAATATAGGAAGATAAACAAACAAAAACAGACAAGTTCATGATTGAACCATTTGCAAATCTGGATAAAAGTACATACCTCACACACTTGCAAAATTAACCTCAGATTTCCAAACCAAAAACCAAAAGATCAATAACAACAAAATTGCGAGAATATTTAAATGAATCAAGATAGAAAACACAAGGTATGTAAGGATCTGTATAAGATCAATAACTTGATATAAATGCCATCATAACTATCAGCAACACGATCACGATTAGTAAGGACAATCTACTTAATTACTTGATAAACTAGAAGAGTAGTAAGTTCGTCTATAAACAAAATAGTAGCACAACCATAGTCCACTTATTTCCCATCTTTCAAATGTTCAGGCATGAACAGAATCATGACAGAAGAAAGAAAAGACCAGGAAACAAAGATCAAAAGGGAGGGATTTATGGCCCATTCAGCAGCTTCAGCAACTTCAGCAGCAGCAGCAGCAGCAACAATCAGTTAACCAGTATATGCCAGAGTTGGAGCAATTTTTGAAACTTCAGTTAGAGGAGCAACATCATCTTCAACAGCTACAGCAGCAACAAGAATTGCATCAGCAACAACAGCAACTTCAGCTCCAAATGCAACTAAAAATCATGAAACTTTACTTGGTTAATTGTTCAATTTTCGAACATTTGCTGCAGCAGCAGTTGAATGACCCTGTTTATCAACTTAGTTAAGTGTTACGCGGCATGAGTCATAAGAACATTTCATATATAAACTATTAATGAGATTGCTAAGTCAAACTATCAAATTAAACAATTAACCAAGTAAAGTTCATGAACCATGGGAACTGTATTAATATATAAAGAACTTAATATTTGTAATCTCATGATTTAAGGGTGAAGACGGAGTTTGATTACGACGACGTTCTTTGTTGTCTTGAGCTATAAAATTTTGCTGGAGAATTATGTTGAAGCTCTTTATTAGGAAGAGCTTGGTGACCTTTAATAGAGAAGGCCATCCATCTCCATCTTTTATTCCTCTCTTTCAATGTGTCTATTCACTAGATTATGTAGTTTGAGGAAAAATGACATACTTAGGAGCTAAAAATTGAAGAATATGTATGTAAAATGTACAAAACATGCACATACCAAGTCCAATTGCATCCGAACCCTTCATGATCCTCAGCCTCCTACAGGTTGTAGTGAACATGCTGCAACGTCAAAAATATTAGTTAGAACTGCAATTTTCCAAGAAAAGACCGTCATGTACAGGTTCTTAAAACAGATCAAGTTACTAGAAACAAATTATTAATGATAACTAGTAGGCACCGCCTTCATAGTTTGACCACCACATTTCGACCTCCACATGCAAATGAAAGAACCCAAAACAGATACATAATAATTTCAGGTAAACATAATCATTTATATCATGCAGTAGGTATAAAACTAAACGTGACATTTGTAATGACAGAAGAATGAAAAGTCTATGAAATATATCTTAGTAGATATAAAAACATAAAGGAAACTTTAGCCAGAATCATAGCAAGTCAACATTTAGAACTTGATGCTTACTCCCATGGAACATCTCAGTAGGCATGAACAGAATCATGACAGAAGCTCAACAAGCCATTACACAATTATTACAATGTAACTGAAGTTACTAATAAAATTTAATTATCGTAACATATTCTTCTTACAAGGATGGAATTCCATAGCAAAATGAAATGTTATTAAAAGATAAAACATTGCTACTTGCGGCATCGCTGAACTTATCCATACCATTTAATAAGGGAAAACCATTGGTATAAGAATAATTTTCAAAGTGAAATGTAAAACTATTAAAGAGAAAGCATTGCTAGTAACACATATGGACCTTTTCCTCAAAGACTATGGTGAAAAGAACATTTGGTACATGAAAGTAAGGACATGAAGATGAGAAAAGCTATTTGATTGTGATCAGTCACAAATGCATTCCCTTCAAACATCCCACATGACATATATGGAGAAAAGAAAGAACAGAGTAAAAGCTATTTGATTGTTAATCATATTGCAAAGAAAAGGGGCAAATTTTTCTCGAAATCAAATCCCTAACTCCCAAAAAATCCAAACTATCCCAGGAATTACGCCTCAATCCAGCTAAATGCACAAAAGATTCAACCTTTTATTATAAAATGCCATAAGCCCCTTTCCTCATAAAAAAATCAGAAAATTGGGGAAAGTTACCTGCTCAGGCGAACACTGCTCGATCCAAATAGGGCACTGCGATTGGACGCCATGGACGAAGGAATCGACACCAGAACAAGGGCAACGAGACGAATCAGCGATTGAGGCAGCGGAGGAGGCGGAGGAGGATCGATTGGCGTCGTAGGTTTTGGGTTCAAAAGGCACTTGAGGCGGCGGAGGAGGAGGCGGAGGAGTGATTGAGATCGGGATTGAGGCGGAGGAGATTGGGATCGGCTCAGTTGCCCTAGAGAGAGAAAGAGGAGATGGGATCGGGTTTTGTCTTGTTTTCGTTTTGGGTATACGGCTGGGCGGGCAAACGGGCAAATAAGCACTGCCCATTTAGTGCCCATTTAGAGGAATATAACATGGACCCGCCCAATTAGACCCATTTAATTAAATGGGTGGGTTTTGGGCGGGTCAAATAATGGGCGGGTCGGGTGGGTAAATGGGTATGGGTCAAAATTGACATCCCTACCAACGAACTATTTTCAGTCACACCTTAACTCCTAAACTATTAAATTCATCCCCACTTAAAAAAATCTGTAGCTTTCGTTCCTACTCACCTACTCAAAAAAAATGTAAAAAAAAAATGTAAAAAAAATTAATATAATAAATGTAGCATTCAGATAATATAACTACTATATGCGCCATCAGCATTATTTTTTCTTCACCATTCTTCTAGTAATTATATTTAGGCTCCAGTCCTACTTGGCCATAAAAGTACTAAATTCGTTCCTACTTATCCATTGAATATTTTTATCACACCTCAGCTCGTAAACTATAAAATACATCCCCGCTTACCCCCAAACTCTTCTCATCCCCACCTTACCCTCTGAATCATCACTTTGAGTACCTAGTTACCACCTATTCGTTTATTCTTTTGTGGGTATGTTAAATTGATTTATGAGAGAAATGTGATAGTTCAAGGGGGGTAAGGTAGGGTTGAAAATAATCTAGGGGGCAAACAAGGACAAATTTAACAGTTTAGGGGGCAAGTTGGTGCCAAAAATACTTCAAGCCCTGAGCACAAACAACTTTAATAGTTTAAGCGGCAAGTAGGGACTAAAAGCTTGCAATGTCAAAGTTACAAGAGTGTTGCTACGGGAACCCAAAATATGGGACCAATGGAGGGGACAGGTGAGGTGTCCCCTCCATTGGTCCAATATTTTGGGTCCTTAAATCATTTTTCAAGATATAATATGACATGTTAGAAAAACAAATGTAGTAACACACAAATTTTGGATTTATTACGAGAGTTTGCCATCTTTGGAACTTAATCATTGTCTGACTCCATCACGTGCAAATTATATAGTTACAATACGCGCATTGTATCATTGTTAAAATCTATATATCATCTTCATATTAACTAAATGATAATAACTATATTTCTCATAAATTGTATGCATTAAAGTCCAAAATAACAAAATCAAGGTAACATTAAAATATATATTTCTTACACACACCTCATCATTTTCAACGCCACCCTCATCATCATCCTTTGCCTTTGGCTCATTAGCTATAGCTGGTTCAACTTTCGTTGCCTTTTTAGCAGCTGAATCCACTTTCATCGCATCAGCATTTCCCACACCGAGTTTGTTATATGTTGCCTCAAATACTCAAATCCATATTATTTTGGGAGTTCCTTTTCAGATAGGCTTGTTTTAATCAAAAGTCATACTTATATTAGACTTTACACAATCAATCATATTAGAGGTTTATTTCTACTTGGACTCTTGTTAGGTTTTAGGGCATGTGGACTTCTTTTTTTCTTTTTTTTTCTTTTTTTGAAAATGAACATGTGGACTTATATTCCAATTAGAACTCTTATTTCTTAGATAGCAAGGAGTTGAGATATTCAATGCTATATAAAAACAGTCTTTCAAACCAATTAGATGCATCAATCTTCAGAGCACCAATCAAGAAGAGAGAGTTTTTTTGTGAAGCCTATTTGATATCATTCTCTTTTGTTCCCTTAGTTGAGAGTTGTATTAGTCTTTTGGGGTGTTATTTGGGATTGAGTGATTGAGAGATACACTTTGTATTCTTCACAATTTAGTAAAGTTTTCTCCTCCTTCGCCCATGGACGTAGGCTACAAGTCGAACCACGTATATCTTTGTGTTTGTGTGTTCTTGATATTTTTCATACTCTCGTGTGATTGATATTAGCTTATCCTGGGGAATTTGTCATAGGGTTTTTCTTGCTTGACCACAAGTTTGGCTATCAAAGAGATTCACAAGTAAATCAAACATATAACGAAATAAAAACATGGTGTAATGGTAACAAATCGAGAGCAGCATTAACTAGCATTCACAAGTCTAAAAAAAAGGGAAAAAAGAAGAAGAAAAAAAAGAGGGAATCATAGTAGTCATTTGTGGAAGTACGAACAGAGCACTCAAAGGCAGATAACATACTAGACGAAAAATATAATGTTTAATGATAAAATACGTGAGCATCATGGTTGTGTGGAAAAAAACCCAGAAAAACCTGTTTTTAGTGTCACGAGTCGACTCATGCTAGTCTTAAGTCAACTCATGTCTGTCATGAGTCGACTCATGAATTGATGAGCCGACCCATTAAATTAAATGCCCTGGAATTGTGATTTCTTTTCTGCTCAGTCGACTGATAGGAAATCAGTCGACTGATGAGCTGATCAATCGACTGATGATCTAATCAGTCGAATGATGACAGGTTCTTGGGTTGTTTTTGTTTTCATGTTTAGTTTGGGAATGACTGTTTGTATAAATATAAATGCTATTTTTAGGGTTTAAGAAGGAGAGTATTAGCAGCTTTTGAGCACTTTGAGTGGGAGAATTTGTGAGGAACTTGAGAGTTTTGTTTGAGGGTTATTTTGTGAGATTATTTGAGTGATTGTAAACCCAATTTGTACTCTCTCTCTCTCTCTCTCTCTCTCTCTCTCTCTCTCTCTCTCTCTCTC